GTTCCCCTTCGATCCCGCACCCCTCAGGAAACACACACACACACTGTCCACAACCCTGTTCCCCTTTGCTCCCGCACCCCTCGGGAAACACACACACACACAGTCCACAGCCCCGTTCCCCTTTGCTCCCGCACCCCTCGGGAAACACACACACACACTGTCCACAGCCCCGTTCCCCTTTGCTCCCGCACCCCTCGGGAAACACACACACACACTGTCCACAGCTGCGCTCTCACCACACACACACACATACACACACTGCACACTGTCCACAGCTGCGATCTCTCTACACACACACACTGCGCACTGTCCACAGCTGCACTCTTGCTACACACACATACAGAGTACACACTGTCCACAGCTGCACCCGCTCTTACTGGGGGCTCTTGCAGTGAGCTGGGGGCTCACCTGGGTCACTGGAAGGTGCATTGGAGTGAGGTCGGGTGGGGCTGGGCTGTCGGGGACCCAGAGGCCGCCCCCCCCCCCCCGTCCCCCGGGGCCGCTCTGCAGGTTCACTCCCTGTCCCCGGCACAGAAACCCAATCGCCAGCCAGTCGGGCGGATCACTCCAGCTCCCATTACGCCGACCTCTGGAGCTCACCTCATTCTGCTGACACCTGGGCCTGGGGCTTCAGTGTCAGAGCTGGGTGGCTCCAGAGAGCTCCATGAAATATTAAGGGGGCAGATTTCACCCGATGCCAGAGCTTGGAGCCAGCCCAGTCAGGGCACCGGCACCCGCCCGCCCCCCTCGGAGCCTCCCACGCACACGTGGCCTGGACAGCCGTGGGGCCAGGCTGACACCACAGCGCCCACAGCTCCTCTGCTGCAGTCACTAGTGGGGGCCCATTGTGTCCTCTGTGCTGTGGCTGCCCGATGGCTGGCACCTGGGCTGGGCCCCACCCCCACAGCTATTGAGCCCCCCTCGCAAGTTCCAGCGCTGTGGGATGGGCCACGCTTCGCCTGCTTCCACCCCAGCCTGCCCTGGGCCTCAGCCCTGACTCGTGGTGGCCAGCCCGAGGGGCCCTGAGCCAGCGCCCCCACAACCCCAGGGAAGCACTTACTGGTTCAGCTCCAGGTCCAAGGTGAAGGCCGAGCCAAAGGCATGAATGAGGAAGCTCACCTGGGCCAGGTGCACAAACTGCAAGAACCAGAGAGAAGCGGAGTTAAAACACACCCTGTCCAGCAATGCACAACCCTGGCACTGTATCCCCCGACCCCCAGCAATGCACGCCCCTGGCACTGTGTCCCCCAGCAATGCACAACCCTGGCACTGCGTCCCCCGGCAATGCACAGCCTAGACACTGTATTCCCCGACCCCCAGCAATGCACGCCCCTGGCACTGCGTCCCCCAGCAATGCATGCCCCTGGCACTGCGTCCCCCGACCCCCAGCAATGCACGCCCCTGACACTTCATCCCCCAGCAATGCACGCCCCTGGCACTGTGTCCCCCAGCAATGCACAACGCTGGCACTGCGTTCCCCAGCAATGCATGCCCCTGAAACTGTGTCCCCCAGCAATGCACGCCCCTGGCACTGCGTCCCCCGGCAATGCACAGCCTAGAAACTGTATTCCCCGACCCCCAGCAATGCACGCCCTGGCACTGCGTCCCCCGACCCCCAGCAATGCACGCCCCTGACACTTCATCCCCCCAGCAATGCACAGTCTAGACACTGTATTCCCCGACCCCCAGCAATGCACAACCCTGGCACTGCATCCCCCAGCAATGCACAACGCTGGCACTGCGTTCCCCAGCAATGCATGCCCCTGGCACTGCGTCCCCCGACCCCCAGCAATGCACGCCCCTGGCACTGCGTCCCCCAGCAATGCACAGTCTAGACACTGTATTCCCCGACCCCCAGCAATGCACAACCCTGGCACTGCATCCCCCAGCAATGCACAACGCTGGCACTGCGTTCCCCAGCAATGC